TGGGGAGAAATGGTGCACCTGCACAAAGCACGTAAGAGAAATGAATGCAACACGATTATAATCAGTCATTATCGAACGTTGTAGTTCATTAATAATTATGTATAACAGGATATTATAAAAATTAAGTTATGAAATTTTTATTAAAACGTTTCTTACATACCATTATATTGGCTGGGCCACAAAAATATTTGTTGTGTGCTGCATGTGGCCCATGGGCCACAAGTTTGACATGCTTAAATATTTGTTGTGGGCTGCATGTGGCCCATGGGCCACAAGTTTGACATGCTCGGTCTAGTCTTGATGCATATTTTCCGCCTTCACCTCCATGACTTTCAGAATTTTCAGAAAAATGAAAGGGGAAAATTCTCTAAAACAGAACCTCATTGGCCTGGGGTGAGTTAAGGGTCATTCCTTGTCAAATCATTTGCAGCTGAAACTTGACAAAAGAGGTACTGGGACTCATCACTGTGGATTAAGAGGACCCAGAGAATACACCTGGGTGCTGGGAAGGGAAAGGGAGAGATGGTTGTCATGGGCTTCAAGGAAGACCCAATAAAAACAAAGTGAGTTTCCCTCCCCTGCTTCTTCCTCTGGGAGCATACAAAACTGACATGATTTTAATATTGTGAAGGTTCTGTTGTCACTTTGAAAGTATAATGCTTAATTTAGTCATTAAAAGGTTTATTACAAAAATAAACCTAGGAAGACATCGGGCCTGCAGATGTACTTTACCTAGATCCCCCAGAGCTGGATGATAGCCGCGTCTCCTAATGTCTCTCCACAACATACCCTTCCTTCACAGGGAAAAAGCAATAAAAAATATTGGTTTTTGATCCACTCTAATAATTTCTGCCTTTTAATTGGTATGTTTACAACATTGCTGTTTAAATTGATTACTGACATCATTGGATTAACATCTACCATATTTGGTACTGTTTTCTACTAGTTGCCCTTGTTCTTTGTTCCTATATTTGTCTTCCACTCTTTTTCTGCCTTTTGTGTTTTAAGTGAGCATTTTATTTTAATTTAATTTATAGGGGTCTCCCTTATACCCTGGTCCTGGAACTGGTCACAGAGTGCACCCTTCACTCAGGGAGAAATGCTATTCTGTAGGGCCAGTTCTTGGGCTCACAGACAATGTGCTCCACGACCTGACACCAAGGGCAAAGAGAGGTGCATTCTGGGAGGCTAAGGGGAGGCAACCAGTCTCCATAGTTGTTTTTCTGTCTGAAATGCCCACTGCCTGACAACCACAGCACACTCCCGTGCTATGTGTCCTTGCTCAGGTCTCTTCGTTCAGCCACAGCTCATACTCCTCACTCCTGCTGGAGTGCCCACCTAGTCCCTTTGCTACTCCTAGCTGAGAGAGTGTCAGCCACAACAAGATTCCTCCCCTCTCCAGCAAAGCCCTGCTTGCTGGAAGCTACCCATTGTCTACACTATCATGAAAGTGCAGCAGGGAACACAGAAGGCTGATGGACCTTGGGCTTTAGCAAGGGCTAAAAGTTATGCACCAATTGTTCTGTCGAGACAATGGTGGCTCTAGGCAATCCCCTAACCTGATAATCTTTTACTGTTTACCAAAACTTACCTTTGATATGAGTGTTTGCTTTGCTAAAGGGCAAATGTGTATTCTAGTAAATAAAAAGCTGTGGGTCCAGAGATTCGAGGAACCTCTTCGCTAGAGAGTAAGGTCTTCACCTGGCTCTCCCCAAGCCTTCTAAATTTATATTTCTTGTCTAGTGTATCCATTTATGTGCAGCCCCTTCTCCAGATCCTGAATCCTTGCTGCAAAAGGTTGCGGCACCTGCTGTGAGCTCCCAGCTGCCAGGCTGCATCCTTGGCTCTATCAGCCACTCTTCCTTTTGGCCTTCCCTTTTTGCTCCATTTACCCACCTTTAGATGTTTCAATGTGTGGCTCTCTCCAGTGTATTTTTGTGCTTAGCAGGGTAATCCTTTGTTGAGTTATAACTGTTCAAATTGTTAAAACTTCAAGGTGAGAGGCCAAGAGGATCTCATACTGCCATTCCTGACATTACCTGCCAAAGAGCTAAGCATTTTATATGATTCTATTTTCTTTCCTTTTTTAGCACATGAATTATACTTCTTTCTTTACATTGCTAGTAATTTATTTCAGGGATAAGGTAAGAAATATAAAGGATGAACCTGAAACATCGTACACACCAGAAAACAAGGAAGTTATCAAAAACTTTTAGGATTATGTCCAAAGGAGCCAATATGAATAAAATCTCACTGACCAAACATGGGACACTTTGTACATCAGTAAAGATAATAAATGCAATTGTATAAAACATAAAATATGCTTAAATTCAAGAGTTGATACTGACACTAACATGCTTGGGAACCCACTCATTAGTTTGCCTTTCTGTATCTCAGGATAACCAAATAACTAATGATAGAAAGTTTACCTTTTTAGAAGGATTCCTAATAAATGAGTGATAGGATTAATTGTTATCATCAACAACCTTATTGAATCAGTGGGTCAAGGTGATTGTCAATGGTACTGATATTACAAAAAGAGACCTGGTGGAAGTACATAACATTTTGCTTCCTGATAGCAAGTATTTCTATCAAATAAGAATCTGAATCAAGCTCTAGATTTATAGAAATACTAGGGGCCCAGTGCACAAATTCGTGCACTTTGAAAGGAATTGTGGGTTGCTAGGCTGTGGTGGGTACAGGGGTGGGTCTCGACCCATCCTCCGTGCCCCCACCTGGCCACTCCCACTGTGGCCCCTGGTCCCCTCTCTGCCAGCAGCCCCGCTCCCACTGCTGCTGCTGCTCCCAGACACTGACGGTGTGGAGTGATTGGGGCCGGCATCAGCAGCGGGTACGAGCGGAGCCAGCGTTGTCAGCGGGTGTGAGCAGCAGCTGGTGCTCCAATCACCCCTCAGGAGCAGGGGGAGGTGGAGAAGTCCTCAGGGGCAATTGGGGCCAGCAGGTGCCACTCGCACTCGCTGACGGTGCCAAGTGATCAGGGCCGGCACCAGGCACCAGCAGAGGGTGTGAGCGGGGCTGGCACTGGCAGCAGGTATGAGCGCCGGGCAGAACCATGGCATGCGGGAGCAAAGAATTTTCAGTAACCACCAGAGGCTCACCCCGATGACAGCAAATAATGGGAAAAATTTGAAAATTGTCTATTTGGTTTCATGCATTAGGGAGTTAGTTGTTAATTCTCTTAAGATGATAATGATATCATGGGTATGTGTTTAAATTATTAATGTTTGGAGATGCATACAGAAATATCTATAAAATAAATGAAACAATGTCTGAGAAATTCTTTTTTTAAAATATATTTTATTGATTTTTTACAGAGAGGAAGGGAGAGGATAGAGAGTTAGAAACATCGATGAGAGAGAAACATCGATCAGCTGCCTCCTGCACACCCTCTACTGGGGATGTGCCCATAACCAAGGTACATGCCCTTGACTGGAATCGAACCTGGGACCCTTCAGTCTGCAGGCTGACATTCTATCCACTGAGCCAAACCGGTCAGGGCTGGGAAATTCTTGTGTGTGTGTGTGTGTGTGTGTGTGTTAATCCTTACCTGGGGATTTTTTTTTTCATTGATTTTTAGAAAGAGAATCATCCATGTGAGACCCATCGATTAGTTGCCTCCCACATGTGCCCTGATGGGGGCTGAGGATCAGGCCTGCAACCAAGGTACGTGCCCTTGACTGGAATCAAACCCACCACCCTTCAGTCTGTGGGCTGATGCTCTAATCACTGAGAAAAACCAGCAGGACTTTAAAATACTTGGAGATATATAAATTATACCTCAATTAAAATAGTAACTATGAACTTGAGGGAAGTGTGTAGGGGTGTGGATGAAGCAAGATTGGTCATGCATTGATGATTGATAAGCTGGATGAATGGTAAATGAGGTTCATTAAACTATGCTCTTTTCTTTAGTTAATGTTTGAGAATGACCGTAATAGACAAAACAAAGCTCTAAAGTACAATGAAATTATTATACTTATTAGATGTGTCCCAAAGTACTGGGTACATAGTATTAGATGAATACTTACAAATTAAAATATTATCAAGATTTCTCAGTTATTGAGGATAGCTCGTGATTTACCAAAAACACTTCATTATTCCACTAAAGTTATTAATTAAAACAAAAATGGCTCTGTGTGCTCTGTTCCTCCAGACGGTAGGCTCTCTTTACATGTCCCTCTGGAGGGCAGGCACCACACCCAGCCCAAGCTTTTAATCTATTTTATGTCTGTCTTTCATTATTTCTTCAATCCCGAAAGCGCCTCCTAGATTGCACAAACCAGGTCAAGTCTCCTTCTCCGTGCGGGATTCGGGAAGAAGACAGCCCCAGGAAACCGCTCGGTATATTCTGGCACCCAACGTGGGGCTCAGCAGGGGGGCAAAGCAAGGAGGTTAGGCATTTCTTTAGGGATCGTCCCAGAGTATTGCAGCCGCCACAGAACTGAAAAGAAAATTTCTCAAACCTCGTGTGGATTCCCACAAGAAATATTAACTTCAACATGGACCCAAGAGAGGAACTGGCCAACTTAAAGAGGAGTCCACACCTGGAGACACGCCTTACAGCTGCAGATAATCAATCACCCGGCCCACAGATAGCAATGATCCCAAGCATCCCACTGAAGATAAGAAGTGGGAAGAGGACGAAGTGGACAGCAAGGAGCCCAGAAGTGACCAGGAGCCCAGGAACACCTGAGAACATCCTTCTTTCCATGTTAGCAGTAATCTGCTGTACGTATGCAAATGTGGATTAAAGAGTCTTAAAAGGACTCAAACCCTTCAAGAAGCTTTCACTTATCAAGATGTATTAAGGAAAAGTAACAGGGAAGAGTGCCTAGCACATAATTAATTATTGCCTTTACGGTACTAGGACCTCCCTTAAAGCTAAAAACAGACAATGGATTCATGTACGCTAATACACCTCCTACTGGGGATGTGCCTGCAACCAAGGTACATGCCCTTGACCAGAATCGAACCTGGGACCTTTCAGTCCGCAGGCTGACACTCTATCCACTGAGCCAAACCGGTTAGTGCGACTGTTTACAGTATTTTTGTCAGCAATATCAAATTTATCATAAAACTAATATCACTTATTAATTCTCAAGCTATTTTAAAGTAAGCCAACCGTACTATTAAGATGCAATTATTAAAACAAAAAGGGGGAGACAGATGTTATGTCTCACCTCAAATGCAAACTCAGTCATGATTTTATACTTAAAAATTTTTTGCTTTATATTTAAAATTTTTTTGAATTGCAATGCAGAGGGTTGTACAGCAGCCAAATGGCATCAGGCCTCCTGTACAATAGCCTCCACCAAGTTAGCCTGGTTGAAGAAGGCAAAAACCAGACAAAAATTTTATCAGATGCAATAATAATGTTGGGAAGAGGTTGTGTTTTTTATCTTTCCAGAAGGAACAGCACAGCCAATCTGGATGCCAGAGAGTTACGTGCGTCGCCATGATGCACCCGGAGAAGCTGCTTGCCCCATCGTTCAAGGGACTGAGAGTTGCCCTGATGACAGTGATGCAGAAGAAGTTAACTACTAAAGCCGACAGAAGGCAGAATTTACTACCTCAACCATGTTTCTGGCCATGCTGACATTGGTTAGCTGCCAGTCTTCTATAAGACATTGCACAATCAACTCTAAGGACTCTGAGCAAATATACACCAGCAGCAAAAGAGACTTTTCAATCAGTAGCAAGAATATTGACATAGCTGTAGTTTGATTTCTCTATTATTATTGTGTTTGCATTGATATCAATTTGTTATTAGCTTTTAGTCAAAGCCTTGTTCTTGATGTAAAGTTTTGCTTTTGATTTTAGCTGCAAAAATATATTTAAAAAGGGGGAGGTGTTAAGGGCCGGTAGAATACAGTTGGCTTAATTTACATCAGCTGGATTCAGTGTGAGGGCAAAAGCCCGGCCCTGGAGGCGGGACCAGTCAAAGACTGGACGCCATCCAGTTTGACTCTCCCGCCCAGTGGTAAGGGGATGGATCTCATGATGTCAAAGGCCCTCCCAGATGTGATGTAACTTCCTGTAACTCAAGTATATAATAAAGCAGCTTTCGGAAAAAAAAAAAATGATCACAAAGATGTTACAAAAAATAGGTCCAGTTTATCTAGTTAAGAATATTTTTATATATAATCACTATGAAATTCAGGATTTTCATCAAAATGTAGATAAGAATTTATCAAATTAATTATTCTATGTTGAGTTCAATGACAGACGTATTCTTTAATTTCTTTTTTCCAAATCAAGATGAGCAGCTAACTCTGAGATCTCTAGCCCAAGCAGGAGTAGGTGAGGAGTAGCCTGCTTTCTCGGCTGCAGAATGCTTCTGAAAAGGATGCTGAAGAACTTGCTGCAGAAGATAGACCTGGTAAACAATTTAAATAGATAAATATAGATTTTCTCCATTAGGACCCTTATTAGTTTTCTAAATTTCTAACAAGGGACATTTTAAATTTGTTTGAAAATGTTTAAACATTTTACATTTTATTAAAACTTCAATTATAGTTGTTACTTAAAATTTCTATTGTTCCACAGAAAGTTCCTTAAGTACTAGTTTTATGTTAAAACAGGAGAGTGAATATGTACAGTGTCATGAAGACTACATATATATCCTGATTATTAAAATTCACAGCAGTTAGAGGATTATAATTTTCTGAAATATTGAAAAAAATAAAACAATGTCAATAATTTTCAATCATTACAAACCAAGGGCCTGATTCCTACTTAGACTGCTTCCTCATTTTGCCCCAAGTACTAAGGAATTTTCTGTGGAAAAATAGAAATTTTAAGTAACAAATATTACAATTTTGCCCCATGGTTATAAACTGAGGCATCAAAGAACACACTTCTTTAAACAATGATTCTAGGGGAAATATATATTTTCATCCTGTTATAAAATGATTAAATCATGGAGATGTAATGCACAGTATGGTGGCTATATTTAATACTATATTGCATATTTGAAAGCTGCTGAGAGTAAATTTTAAAAGTCTTCATCCCAAGGAAAAAAAAAGATTTTTGTAACCACGTATGGTGATTGATATTAACTAGATTTATTGTGGTGATCATTTTGCAATATGTACAAATATAGAATCATTATGTTGTACACCTAAAGCTAATATAGCATTATATGTTAACTATATCTCAATTTAAACTATTTTCCCAGTGGTTTTATCACTTTCTTGAATTAAGAAAATGCATAGTTCTGACAGAAAACAGTGGATGATTATAATAAGAAAGTAAAGCCAAGAAATCAAATAGAGTATACTACTATCCTACCAATATTTTAAATAGAAAGACTGCATCGTCATCAATGTTAGAGCCCTTCTTCAACTCTCCCCAGGTACTTTCTATACACATCCTTTTATTAAAGTCAGTCTTAAATCTATCTGAACTCACCTACTAGTTTGAAAGCTCCTTGAATCAATTTTTATACTTCTCCACAGCACCTCACATAGAGTGGATTCTCAAGAAATGTTTGAAGCAAGAAGGTAAACACAAGTTGTATATGTAAAGGATTTCATGTAAAAGGTTTATAAAAAATAAACTTTTTTTTTCCTTTCCTGCATGAGAATGTAAACTTTAGTTAACATTCTAGGTCTGTTCCCTGGCAACCTGATGAGGTGAGGTGGTACGTCAACTGTATCACCACACAACATTGCTTTTGACTGAAAAATAGCTTCTGGCTTGAGAGAACTGTAAATCCCCCATAGAATCCCTAGGGCTTTCTTTAGTGTGGTGACTCTCAAGGCAGGTCTCCTGTGGGGACACTGGAAACTACACCTATGGTCCTGACAAGAGATACTGATTTTTTATTTTTTTATTTTTATTGAATTTATTGGGGTGACACTGGTTCACAAAATTATGTTTCAAATGTACAATTCTATAACTTATCATCTGTATATTGTATTGTGTCTTTGTCACTCAAAGTCAATTCTTCTTCCATCACCTTTTATCCCCCCTTTACCTTTTTCTACCTCCCTCACCCCCCTTTCCCTCTGGTGATCACCATACTTTGTCTGTGTCTATGAGTTATTTGTTTGTTTTTTGCTTAATCCCTTCACCCTTATCACCCAGCATCCTATCCCCTTCCCCTTTGACAGCTGTTAGTCTGTTCTCTATATCTATGAGTTTGTTTCTATTTTGTTTATTTAGTTCATTAGATTCTACATACAAGTGAAATAATATGGTACTTGTCTTTCTCTGACTGGCTTGTTTCACTTGGCATAATACTCTCCAGGTCCATCCATGCTGTTGCAAAGGGTAACATTTCCTTCGTTTTTACAGCTGAGTAATATTCCATTGTGTAAATGTACCACAGCTTTTTTTATCCACTCATCTATTGATAGACACTTGGGCTTCTTCAAATCTTTGCTATCATCAAACAAAGTGCTGCACGAAGGTAGAGAAAAGGGAACCCTTGTGTACCATTGCTGGGAATGAAGATTGGTACAGCCACTGGAGAAAGCAGTATGGAGTTTCCTCAAAAAATTCAAAATGGAACTGTATTATGACCCACTGATTCCATTCTGGGAATATATATGAAGAAAACAGAAACACTAATTTGAAAGAATATTGCACCCCTATGTTCATTGCAGCATTATTTACAACTAGAGACTCGGTGCACAAAATTCGTGCACGGGGTGGGGGGTGGTCCTGTCAGGCCAGCCTGCTACACCCTCTCCAATCCGGGACCCCTCGGAGGATATCCTGAGGATCGGGCCTAAACCGGCAGTCGGACATCCCTCTCACAATCTGGGACCACTGGCTCCTAACTGCTCACGTGCCTGCCTGCCTGATTTCCCCTAACCACTCTGCCTGCCCCCTAACTGCCCCTACTGCCAGCCTGGTCGCCCCTAACTGCCCCCTGCTGCCGGCCAGGTCGCCCCCAACTGCCCCCTCCCTGCCGGCCTGGTCACTCCTAACTGCCTCCTCCCCACCAACCTGGTCACCCCCAACTGCACCCCCTGCCGGCCTGGTTGCCCCCAACTGCCCCCACTGCCGGCCTGGTTGCCCCTTACTGCCCCCCATGCCAACCTGGTCATCCCCAACTTCCCCCCAGCGGGCCTGGTCACCCCACGCAGCCTGCTGTTTGGTCGTTTGGTCATCTCTTACTAATCCCCCTGCTGGCCTGGTCACCCCACAATATTAAGGCTAAATAGCCATAGATTAAAGGCTACCATAAGTCCATACCAACAGAGCTTAAATTCAAGTCTTGAAAGCTAATCTGCAGGCAATTTAACTGTCTTCCAAGTAAAGCTGCTCTTTAAAAGAAGAACGAAAAATTTAGACACTTAGCAATTATTGGGAAGAAGCAGGAAAGTGAGAATCAAAATCAGGAAATATAAATAGAATTAAAAAAACAATAATGATCGAAAGCAGACAAGAATTTTAGACAGCTATTATAAATATGTTGAGGAACTTAAAGGAAAGCATGAACATAATAAGGAGATAAATAGAAGATACAGAAAAAAGCAAAGTGCGCCCTAGCTGGTTTGGCTCAGTGGATAAAGCATCGGCCCATGGACTGAAGGGTCACGGGTTTGATTCCAGTCAAAGGCATATGCCTGGGTTGCTAACTTGATCCCCAGTGGAGGGCATTCAGGAGGCAGCCAATCAGTGATCCTCTTTCATCATTGATGCTTCTATCTCTCTTTCCCTCTGCCTTTCTCTCGGAAGTAAATTTAAAAATATATAAAAAAAAAAAAAGAAAAGAGCAAAGTGGAACTTCTAGAAATAAAAGATCCTATATAATAAAAGGCTAATATGCAAATTGATCAAACAGCAAAACAACTGGTCGCTATAACGCACACTGACCACCAGGGGGCAGATACTCAATGCAGGAGCTGCTCCCTGGTGGTCAGAGCGCTCCCATAGGGGGAACGCCGCTCAGCCAGAAGCTCTGAGCCTCTCCCGCCTCCACAGCAGCACTTAGGATGTCTGACTGACAGCCTGTGGGGAGTGGGCCTAAGCCATCAGTCGGACATCCCCTGAGGGCTCCCAGACTGCAAGAGGGCGCAGGCTGGGCTGAGGGACCCCCCCCAAGTGCACAAATTTTGTGCACCAGGCCACTAGTAGCTAATATTTGAAAACAGCCCAAGTGCCCATTTGTAGATGAGTGGATAAAAAAGCTGTGGGGCATTTACACAATGAAATACTATGCAGGTGTAAAAAAGATGGATCTCTTGCCTCTTGCAAAAGCATGGATGAACCTGGAGACTACTATGCTAAGTGAAATAGCCAATCTGAGTAAAACAAATATCACACGATCTCACTTATTTGTGGAATCTAATGAATAAAACTAATTGACCAACAAAATAAAACTTGAAGCATGTAGGCATGGAACAGACTGACATACCTCCATGTGGGGGTGGGGGAATGAAGAGAGATAAACCAAAGAACTTACATACTTATATGCATAGCTCATGGACACAAACAATAGGGTGATGAAGACCTGGGTGGTAGGCAGGGCCTGGGCAGAGGGAGATTAAAGGGGTAGGGGGTGGAGGAATGGGAGATATCTGTAATACTGTCAACAATAAAAAATAAAAATAAAAATTTAAATATGACATAGTTAAAATTAATAAAAATATATGCAGAAAAGTCAACCACCTTACCTCTGAAAAATCATTCCTTTCTGCTTTTTGCACTGCAGACTCTGCCATCCAGTTCTTCAGCACGTATCTAGGATTAATAGCTTAAACAAAAGGGGAAAGCACTTATTGGAACCATAAATTACTAGGTCAACACAGATCGTATGAAATTACAGCTGAAATTAGATAATATTCAATAACTTTGCTGGAAGGCTCTAATGAGAAAAATTACCAGCATTAGTCAATTTTGGCTGTTTATAAATAACTAGAGGCCCAGTGCATGAAATTTGTGCACAGGTACGGTCCCTAGGCCTGGCCTGCAATCAGGGCCATCTTCCCCAGCTGATGGCAGCCAGCCCTGCCCCCCGCCGCCACCCACCCCTAGTTTCCCGTTCATCATCGGGCAATTGGAGCCTGCTGGCTGGGGGAAGGAACCAAGAGGTTGGCCGTTCCCGCCTGCTTGCTGGCCCCGTCCCCTGCCACCGGTTGCCCTCTGTGTGTGGGGTGACTGGCGGGGCGGGGGCCTTGGCCTGGTGCTGCCCACGTCCACCGCCACCCACCCCTGGCTCCCATTCCCCATCAAACTATCAGAGCCTGCTGGCCGGGGGAAGGGACTGAGAGGTTGGCCGGCAGGCCCCGATCAGGCAATCGGGATCAGGGCCTGGGGGCTGGGGGCAGCTCCTGTGTTGAGCGTCTGCCCCCTGGTGGTCAGTGCATGTCATAGCGACTGGTCATTCTGCCTTTCGGTTGATTTGCATATTACCACCTAGAACAGTGCCCGGCACAGTGTGCAGGCAGGAGCTTCTGCTGTTATTATTACGACTAGAAGCCCGGTGCACAAAAATTTGTGCACTGGCCGGCGGGGGGGGCCTCACCCAACCTGTGCCCTCTCACAGTCTGGGACCCCTCAGGAGATAACCATCTGCTGGCTTAGGCCCACTCCCCTGGTGGCAGATGGCACGCCCAATCCCGTGATGTCTGCCCAATCTCCCCCTGTCGCAGATGGCAGGCCCGGATCCTGCGCTGGGGCGGGCGGTGGCTGGGGATTGCGCTGCCACCAGCGCAGGGCGGAGCAGCGGGATCTGCCTGCAGTATGCAAATTTAATGGCCATCTTTGTTGGGTTAATTTGCATACTCTTCTGATTGGCTGATGAGCATAGCGAGGGTATGGTCAATTAGCATCTTTGTCTTTTATTGGTGTAGATGTGCAATATTTTTTACCTAATGGTACAGAAAAGACTTTCTGAGCATTATGAGCAACATGTTTTCTTTCCAGTGTTTCAGCATTAAGTTGCCTACTTCACTATGTTCAGTTTGCTAAGCATTTCATAAAGCATGGAGAAAGTAGTGAGTTCATCTGAATTAGGCCCTTTATTCTAAGTGGAGAGGGGAAAAGTTGCTGCTTTTAACATCTTCAATCACAGAATTAAGGTCTGACTCAGGAGGACTGCTTAGTGCTGATGCTGCCAAGAGCATACAGAAAAGGTTATCTGCAGGCAAAATTCTTTATACATTGATTTTTTTTATATAATAACAATGCATTTTAAAATATTAAAATGCATTGTAACAATGGTACATGTAGAAAAATTCCAGAAACTGTCTTTATTTGAGATGAGACCTTTCCAAAATAATTTATCAACTGGGTGATATAAGGGAAGTTCTAGAGGCCTGCAGAAATTACCATTCTAGTAGAGTAGAATAAAAGAGAAATTTTCTATGGAGTTAATTTATCCATATAAAAACATATATGTATTTTTTAAATATATTTTTATTGATTTCAGAGAGGAAGGGAGAGGGAGAGATAGAAACATCAATGATGAGAGAGAATCATTGATCAGCTGCCTCCTGCATGCCCCCTAATGGGGATCGAGCCTGCAACTAGGCATGTGCCCTTGACCAGAATCAAACTTGGGACCCTTCAGTCCGCAGGCAGGCATTCTATCCACTGAGCCAAACCAGCTAGGGCTATATAAATTTTTTTAAAGTAAATAGTAATTATCTTTGGGAATACAGGGATCTTTTTTATTCTTTTTACAAGTCTGCATTTTTCAAATTTTAAAGAGTTCATAGACAACTACTTTAAAATAAAAACCCCTGTACACAAAATATAGATAGGCCATCTTTAAACAAAAAGAAAACTACACGCAATAAAAATTGTGGAAGCACTCAGCCTAGGCAGAGGGAGAGTGGAGTCATCCAGTTAAAAGTTTGACATATTTGTCATTTGCTAGAAACCCGCCAACAAAATACTGTTAAAATACATTGGTAATTGCAGCTATAAATAGAACTTGCCTAGGAGCAATTCTCCTAGGAAAGGGACCCAGAGGCAGAGGTTCCACCATTCCCCACATCTTCATCCTCTTCCTCTCCACAGGAAGTTGAGGAAGCTAGCAGGGCAGGCATTTGGGTCAGGAGCCGGCATGGGGCAGTGGGCCTGGGGAAGTTGGCATCGAGCAGTGACCTTGGTTGAGTCTCAGTATATGAAGAGTGCCTTCCCTCCCCACCTATGGTCCCAATATCCTGGCCTGGCTTTTTTCCCTAAGAATGTGTCCATTCCATGACCTTCCCTTTTCCTCCTCTCTCACCTCTACAGCATTCTCACTCATCCCAGCCTCCAGGCAACCTGCACTAAAGTAAAAAGCAAGTTGAGAACCCCCTTTCCCCATATCCACCAGTCCCAGCTCCTCTCTCTCTTCCCCCAACAGTCCCCAAATAAAGCCCATGTCATGGGGGAGGGGAGGATAAAACATGCAGAATCCAAAAGTACAAAGATAGTGTAAGGAGTCTCTGGGACAGCTTTAAGCATACCATTATTTGCATTATGGGGTGCCAAGAGGAGAAGAGAGAGAGCAAGATACTGAAAATCTATTTGAATAAATAATGACAGAAAACTTCCTCTCTGTGGTGAAAGAAATAGACTTACAAGTCTAGGAAACACAGGGAGTCCCAAACAAGAGGAACCCAAGGAGGCCCACACCAAGACACATCATAATTAAAATACCAAAGTTAAAGAGAGAATCTTAAAAGCAGCAAGAGAAAAGCAGTGAAGAAGAAAAAGATAAAAAATATGAACAATATAATGACAATAAATGCGTATCTATCAAAAACTGAATCTAAAAATCAAACAAACAAATAAGGAATCTAAGGAACAAAATAAACTAATGAATAAAACAGAACCAGAGGCATGGAAACATGGAACAGACTGAAGAATTTCAGAGGGAAGAGGGGGAGGGGGTTGGAAAGAGATTAACCAAAGAATTTATATGCATAAATGCATTACCTAGGGACACAGACAGTAGGGTGGTGAAGGCCTAGGGCAGGGTGGGAACCTGGTAGAGGGGGGCAATGGGGAGACAAAAGGGGGATATCTGTAATACTCTCAACAATAAAGTTTTTTTTTAAGTGGCAAGATGTGATTTATCTGCCAGATTCCAAAACTCATGTTCTTTCCACCATAACTCAAGCCATTTTCCTATCTCTCCACCATCTTTTAAGACTATATTACTTTAAGACCAGTATGCACACTTACTAAAAACAGAGCTTTCATCCTCTGAATTAAAAATTACACATGAGAGCCCTGACCGGTTTGGCTCAGTGAATAGAGCGTCGGGCCGTGGACTGAAAAGTCCCAGGTTCAATTCCCAGTCAGGGCACATGCCTGGGTTGCAGGCTCAATCCCCATTAAGGGGTGTGCAGGAGGCAGCTGATCAATGTTCCTCTCTCATCGATGTTTCTAACTCTCTATCCCTCTCCCTTCCTCTCTGTAAAAAATCAGCAGAAATATATATATATTTTAAAAATCACCCACTAGAATTAGAAAGCTCATATATGATACTTCAACTCAACTAAAATTTACTCATCTAGAATTCTTCTAGTTTTAAAAAAAAACAAACTCAGTTCCCTCACGTAATTACTTCTGGTTTTTAAAATGTTGCTTTTATGTGATTATTTAAAGTTTTTAAAACATCAAAATGATTACTTACTCATCATTCTTTTTCTTCTTTCACTATCTGAATCATTCATGTTACTAAGAATAAATAAAACAAAAGACAAAATTATCTACCATCTTCCCAAACTATATCTTTTTTCCCAAAAGGGTAGGAATTATTTCATAAGACAAATATTGAAAAAAATTTAATCACATTGAATCAGTATCTAAAAGGAATACAGAAAATACTGAGTTGATTAAATATGTAAAATACTACCTTGTTTAGTTATTTTAGATAATATCAAACCTTGTACTTTTACAAGTTAAAAATATTTTTTGTGTAAAAATTGACTGAAACCTTTCCTTACCTTAAACAGTTTTCTGAAAATATTTTACCTTTTTCTTGATTACTCAGGGTAATCTTGATAAACAACTCTCAGTGGCCATTAAACTGTGACGGGCTATTTGCTCCTGTGTGTCCTGTGGTTTTCCTTCAGTTGCCTCTACCTATACTCTTTTACTCTTTCTTGTTTGTTGCTTCTAATTCATTTGAGTTACAAAACAAAATAACTTCTTACAAGTGTACAAGATGTACCAATAAGTAAACACTGGATAAAAGCCTAAGGAGCTCTCCTGCTACAGGGCTTGGGAAGCCTGGGGAGCTGTGTATTAGAGAGCTGAGGTGAGCAGATAAGTGCGCTCCCCATGGGTGAAGTGTTACTACAGACGCCTCAACCAGTGCAAAGTACCCAAGAGTAAAAAGGAAATGGTAAAAAATGGAAAGGGAGGGATCTGATGGATTGACTATGCTAAAGTAATACGTCACATGCTTTTTTGTAAATTAGATTACCTTACCTCTTCAGTCTCAAAAGGTACTGGGACACCCAGGCAGGAAAGAGTTCATGTTTTGAAATCATCTTCAGTGCCCAAAATTGCTAAATGAAAATATAGTAATAGACTGCTTATTCTATTAATGTTTGTTCAGTTTATTTTAATTACATTCTCATACTATCCATATTTTTTCAAGTATACTATTTCAAGTAGAAGTAGTACTAAAAAGGAATAATATTTCATAGACATCCATGTAATGGCATGGTTTAAGAGAAATGAAAAATATACAAAGTTCTTACCGGTAGAGATTACATACACATGAATACTTGTATTACCAAGTTTACCTTTAAATATGGAACTCCCTTAAAATAATTTACTTTTAATAACTTAATTTGCAACTGCATTTTATTTAGTCATCTATTAATTCATTTAACAAATACTTATGCAACATCAACTATTGTTAGGAATTTTATTAGGTGGGAAGGATATAAAAATTAATAAGACATGTCCCACCCTGGCCAGTGTAGCTCAGTGATTAGAGCATCAGCCCGCGCAACAAAGGTTTGTTCCTGGTCAAGGGCATGCACCTGGGTTGCAGGTTTGCTCCCTGCCCCAGGTTGAGGTGGTTGCGGGAGGCAACCAGTCAATGTGTCTCTCACATTGAGGTCTTTCTCTGTCTCTGTGTCTCTCTCTTCTCTCTCTCTCTCTTTCTCTCCATTCCTTCCCTCCCTCCCTTCCACTCTCTAAAAAGCAATGGAAAAAATATCCTCTGGCAAAGATTAACAAAAACAAAAGACATGGTCCCTGTATTTAAGGAAAGTGTGTAAAGAAATATTCAATTCCATTTTAGAAATATACATATTTATAAGTATACTAGGGGCCCGGTGCACAAAAATTTGTGCACTCGGGGGGGGGGGGGGGGGGGGCCCCCCG